CAGGAATGTGAGAGGGTTTCATTTCTTCATCCACAATAAATCTAGTACTGCTTTAAAGTCTGGCCTTTCTGATCCCCAGGGTTGCTTGTAGACTTGCTCAGACAGCATATGGGGACACAGAATGGAAGTCAGAAAGATAAACAATAGTTAAAAGAACAACTCATAAGCTCAACTTCAGAGCTGGTTTTGACCAGTTTACGTAAACTATGTTCATCTATGGATAAAGGACCAAAGAAGGGCACCTGGATTACTCTGTTCAGTTCCCTCCTAGTCCTGAGCAGAGGTAAAGATACATTGGCCAGGCTGATGAAGAAACAGGTGGTCCTTGAACTTGTACCTTGCTGCTTCACCACAGAGCACATCACTGGCAGGCACGTAAATGTTTCCTGGGGAGAACCTGATGGGCATTAAGTAGCTTTCAGTTGAGAAACCAAAAATAAAAGTCAGTCAGTGCATACTGTACTCTGGTAAATTATAGGCAAAATAATCTGGGGTTTGTTGCGATTGAAATTTTCTACCAAAATTTTCAAAGTTTTCCTAAAATTTCAGGGGAACTCTCATTTCTGCTCACCTCTGGTTTAAAGGCATCTGTAATCAGAAAGGCTTAGCAATAGGTGAGAAAAGGAATGTCCTCCTTGTTAACCGTGCTTCTGTCAGTATTCTCCTAGCTCCCTGCTCTCCTGCTTGTCTGCTGCTCCCCAGGGAGATGATCTGCACTGCTACAAAACTCACTGGCCAGCTCCTGACCTGAAACGATGCATGCAAACTCTCATGACTGCTTTGATCTGAGCCCATACTGCAGAGATAAAAATGGCACGGGGAACCGATCTCCTTCTCCAAAATTAACAGAGCTCTGACCCTTATCCCTTCCCCTTGTTCCTTGATCTGAGGGCCCATAAGCAATGTACTACTAGCCATGCAGAACAACAAAGGTGCAGTTGCCCTCAGAGATCCCATTCCTGTGCACAAAGGTGGCAAAAATTGTTTCTTTTGCAGATAAGGCTTATTCCAGGCTGTAGAAACGCTTGTTTTCTCTATCCTCTCCTTCCCCGAGGCAACAGGAGTTTTATTAGTGCACACTGTGGGAGCAGAACTTCACCCTTCCAGAGAGATTTTTCCCATAAGAGGCAAAAAAGGGGGCAGCTGATAAGCACTTGTGAATGTCCCCTCTAGAAAGACAGACTCCTACCAGTTTGTGGTATCATCTGGCAGCACCGATTACACAGCTGAGAGAATAAAGCCCACGATACAGAGACATTTTGCTACACAGCAAACACAACTGCTACAGTGCCTGTGAGATGTGCTGTGGAAGGCCATAGCGGCTGGTGCCTGGGCACCAGTATGCAAACAGAAAAAAGGAGGAGAGGACCTAGTCTAGAGAGACTCTTATGGCTGCTTTATCCAGGCCATCAAACTAGTGGGTAAAGGGGAGAGAAAAGGAGGGCATTCACATTCCTGGACTGTAGTTTGGTAGCTCTCTAAAGCAAGCAGCAAAATAACATAAGCACCTTACAGAGAAGTGTACCTATAAGCACTGCTTGTGCTACAGATGTTCCAGTCTGGTCCCCAGGTCCATGCAGGCAACTGTATGGACTGTGCTACAGAGCAGGCACAGATTGCTAAAACCTGGGCTTGACCAATGTTGTAGAAAAAGGCATCATTGCAACTAATTGTTGCTTGGAGCCCCTGAACATCCATTGCCTCAGGAATAGGCATCCTCAAAATTAGGCAGTCACTTTAAAAACAGTTTTATCAGTTTCACAATGATCACTGTAACACAGTAACCCTTTCCACTTCAGTGGGAAACCAGTGCTACATACAACCTGATTTAACTCCACTGACTTCAGTGGACAGATTTGGCCCCAAATGGACTGTATGGCTGTAAAGACTAGATAGTTCCCACCCTGCGCTGCTATATGTGATCCTGGTCCCACTTTTCTAGTAAGAACCTTCTGGAAGAGTTGAGATCCTTGCTAGGAGCTCACTGCAGGCCAGGTGTTCGATCAGTGTGGCCAGAAACAAAGTGAGAAGAAAACAGCACCTGACTGTCAGCTGATAAAACCACAATTGAACATTCACCCTCCTTTTCTCCATCCCTCAAAAAAGAAACCCCAGCCACAGTGTCTAGCCACAGCAGGCTGGGGGGGGGGAATAATTAAAATCACAAGAAACATGCACAGTAAAAGTCACCTCCAGCTGGGTGTCCACAACACTCTTAAGAGTTCCCAAGGTTTATAGTGCAATTTCATTTGACCTGTAGTTGAGGACCAGTCTCCATCACTTTGGGTGATCAAGTTCTGCTGTTTCCTTTGAAGGGTAAGACAGGTTTCACCATAGGCTAAAATATCTTAGGAACCATTCAAGTAATTAGACAGTGGCACTGGTATGGACAGTCAGATGCGTCCATGGAAACCAAACCCAAGCTGCCTTGTGAGTACCATGCGAGTCTCTAATTGGTAAATGTCTGCTCTTTATCCCTTTTAGTGTTCAGTAACATTGAGGAGATCCGTTCAGCAACTGGCAATAATTCCAGCACTGACCTGGAAATACAAATATCTCATACAAAATATTGATGTGTGCTAACAAACTGAGTGATAAGCGCCCAGGTACAAGCTGTCCAATGGGAGCTGTGGCAGTGTGGAAACTGCAGCATCCAGGCCAGCCAGTATTACAGTACCTGCTAGATTTGTGAACAAACTGATCAGCCCATTCTTTCGTGAGATCTCTAAGTATTTCCTCCAGCACACGCTTGTGTTCAAAAGAATCATCCTCCCCTAAGTTAAATATAAAAATAGATCCTCCATCTTCATTCATTTAACATAGCTGACAGATGACTTCCGCTCTCAAGTTTTCTGTCCCATGTTTTCAAGGGGGGGGAGGTAGCTTTAGATCCAACAGGCTGTAGGCAAAAATGTTCCAGAAGATGGCAAACAAGACAAAAATGACATAAATAGAAAGGAAGATCCACCATAAAGTCTGATCTTGGAGTCTCTGCTCATAGTTCCTCAGGATGATGACACCAAGGGTGATTCCAACCATCACCCCTCCCAGGTGAGCCATGAAGCTGGGGTGTGGGCATGGTGGGTAAACGGAGGGGTGGAATCGCAGCCACACGGCTCTTCCAAATTCAAAGCTCACTGGAACAAATAAGGAAAAAGACATTAATTGTTTAGGTCTATCCCTTCTTAAGTCCAGCTTGCAGGCAGCGCTGCATCCCTAAAGAGATGGAGAGGGAGAAACTGCCTTGTACGGTGAGCATAGGGAAGCTGGGACGCCATGGCTATGTAAGGGTTGCAGCGCGCAGACTTGAGGTCTCCCCAGCGGCTGGTTAGTGGTCTGGGTTCATGGGAGTGTAGACAGGTGGGAGAATATACACCTTCCAAAATTTATACCAGAAGGATAAAAAAAAAAAAAAATTAGACTATGAAGACAACTGTCTGTGATGAATACACAGCCTAGTTTCCCTTATCATGCCACCCTAGGGATATGGCTGGAAAATAATTCATTAATGTGTGCATAATGCTGTTGCCATCCCAGATAGGAAATGCTCTAGGAAACCTAAGTATTATCATCACGAAAGCATTGCTTGTTTGCAAATTCAAAGACGAGACGTTTAAGTCCCAGATCTTCACAAATGCCACAAGCTACAGATGCTGACTAACAACAAATCCTCATTTACAAATGCTTGTGTTGAAAGCCACAATCTGCATTTGACAGCGATGTGGTTTCTGGTGCCAGAAGGTCCAGCTGCAAGTTCCTACCAAAACTGCTGCAAAGTCAAAACTCTCTGTATCAGCATGAATGCTTATAACAAGGACAAAACAAAACAGGATTGCATGTGTGCAAAGTATTGCATGATACTTACTACAGATCAAGGCAACAGCCATGCGCAGCAGTTTGAATTGGCACTTCATTCCTGACCAGTTCTGGAAAAGAGACAAGGAAAACAAAGTGATGCTGCATGCAAACCTGGAGGGATTTTACATTCCGATCTGCACTAGAAGAGCACCAAGGAAGACCATCCCTTGAAACAAACCCTTTTCATGGCCTTCACCACCTGGCTGTGAACTCTCCACTCACCACACCAAACACAGTTCTGTCAATCCCAGAGGACATAAACATAAAGGATATATTGCGGACACATCCAAGTTATGGACAGTCCATAACTTCTTTGCCTGGCAGTCTTACTGACTCCCCTTGCCTGAGATCCAGCTGGTGTGGCACAGTCCTTGCCATTCTCTGTTCTTCAGACAGACTAACTTTTAACATGTTAGTATGACGTTTCACCTTAAATTCTGACTTGTGAAAATACTTGAATTTACCTACCCTGCAAAACCCTGTTATATTAGGCCACATCAAATAAAATTATGTTAAGTAGTACCTAGCATCCAACACAAACAAGCATCATTCTGGTTAACATCACATGGTTCACTGTGATTCACTTGGATGCCCAATACTGTCACTTGTTAGGTAATTTCTCCATGCATTCAAGCTCTACTGTGCTTTTCCAGTGCTACTGCCTGTCCCTCAGGTTGCCTGAAATTCTGCAACTCAAGACCTTCTGCAGAGTACACATGAATAATAAAGACCTCAATAAAAGCATACCAAGGAAACAGTGCCATAAGAAAGCCTGGATTTGGCCTCCTCTGTCTCCAGGCTTGGTCATTAATCAATACAGTGGAATAACAATCTCTGAACAATAGTCAGAAATCCTGGGAGAAAGGTTTAAATTCCTCCTTTTCCACTTGCACAAAATTTCCAAGCAGAAGAAGAGATCCTGTTCTAGGAAACTCAGATGTATGACAACACTATTATTATTAAGTCCCTAAATGAAATTTTGCCTGTTGAAAGCAGTATGAGATACCAAGCTAGCCAGGCTTCTTCTCACAAACTCCCTATTCATCAGACTGAAGGAATAAAAAAAAGTGCTTGTAAACGCTTCAGCCTAACTTTAATGACACCCAGTGACTCCTCAGCCTGCTGAGGAAATATTCTGCAACACATATTACATATCTTCAAGTTTTACATGGTATCTGTCTGTAAATCACTTCTGTGACTGCAGAAATGCAATCTCTGCAAAATAAGTAACTCATTTTCTCTCTCCACAGAGACACCTAACTCAGTCAGAAGGCTCTGAACTCATGCTGATTAATACTGTGCTGCTTTCTTCCATTTTCATTTCCATGAAGCTGTTTTGAATTTCTCTCCTCACTCTTTTCCTTAGGGTGACATGCTTTATTGCTTCCCCCTGTTGGTTATTTTACGTATTTAATTCCAAGAATATTTATTTTTACAAGCAGGAGTGTTTTCATTTCCTTTGGTTACCAGGAGGCACGAGGGAACAGAAGATTCTGGAGACCCTCCCTGCAACAGTCCCTCCTCTTCCCAGCATGCTCAAAGCACCTGTGCAAGACTGTGATCTACCAGCAAACAGCCAGCATATCTTTCAGCATGCAGGAGCATCACATCTAGATATTAAGTGAGCAGAGAGAGAGAAAAGAGGGAAAGAAAAGCAAAAAAAACCCCAAACTCCACTGGAATGGGAAAGGCAGTAAAAGTAACTTCAGATGAGAAAAGAGGCAGTAGATAATGGAGAAATATAGATGCTAAGGTTGCAATTGCTAAATAGATTTAGAGGAGGCCAACGAGTAGTGAAATGACAGGCCACTTTGCAATGTTTGGGGAAGTCTGGGAAGCTACTGGTGAAGACTCTCCACACACCCCCAGCAGAGCCTCTTCATCTAAAGCAACCCAAAATTTCCTATGTCCCTCTCTGACTCTGTGAATCTCGATGCGAAGAAACCCTGTGTCTGCATTACCACCCTGTGAGACAGAGGAAACTCCCTGCTGCTTCTGTTGGCCCAGTGGCAGGGAACACAAGTCATACTGAAAATAACTGCATATAAGGAGGCATTTTGCCGATAGAAACCCCATAGTATAGGGGTAGCCCCTCTCCTCAACAGCCCCTCCAAAAAGCTTGAAGACAGCAAAGGAGACCTATTCGCTTAGGAAACCACCTGCTCCCCCCACTCCCAGCTGCTACAAAGGCTGCCTGGAGCAGCACTGTTGTGGGCTGCAGCCCAAGCCTGCTGAGTCCACTGCATAGAAGCATTGAAAACAAGGTTTTCTTTTAGGCTTGACACAAGTACCACCACACACGCCCATGTTTTCTAGCACCCATATAACAGACCTTCTGTCTCTACTGCAGCCAACTCACGTTATCTTCCCACTCAGGCCTCAGGGGAGAATGCATTATCATCATTTTTATGGTTATTCTGCTCTGACATCGCTGGTACAGGACAGACGTGCAAACCCTGCACCACCACATGTGAATCCTAATCACAGCAAAACCAGCTCTCTCAGCAAAGCCATTTTTGCCCAGGGGTCAGCTTAGGAGTCACGCAGGCAGATATGCTGGGCTTTGACACCACCTAGCTGAGGACCTTGGATGAACTCCTGTTTCCAGGTCTTTACTGGTATTTACTGACCTTTGTAAAGTACTTCATTAGGTGAAACAGCAAAAAGATGCATCACTAGTGTGCCCAGGGTTCAGCTTCTGTAGGGTTTCACAATGGGGAGACAAGGGATATTCTGCACACAAATCTACCAAATACTGAATTTCCTTATGTACCCACTAATATTACATGGCACATGCAGACAGAAACAAGTCTGCAACTTCTGCAGAGCCAGTTAGTTCCTCCTTTTCCAAACATTTGTCAGCCTTTGCAAGAAGAGCTGATAGCCTGGAATACACGGCTAAGTGTTGGATTACCAGCATCTTTGGTTACTTCTGGCAAGCTGCCAGTCATCAGCATATCCAGCCACCAACTGCAGTGTAACATTTCCATTCCAGGACCACACCACAGAGACAAAACTCTTAACTGGGGCAAGCTCTGAATGTCCAACAGCTGGGTCAGGCCCTATTTCCAATCCCTTTGGGCTATCAGACCTGGCTCACTTCTGAAGAGGTTGGACAGTCATCCTGGTACTCACCATGACTATATTGGCCAAGTGAGCTGAGACAAGAGCATACACGCCTCCAGAGGAGCCAACCACAGGCGCAGTCATATCAGCTACTGACACTGCCAGGGACCCTGGGAGAAAGAACAAGGGTTTTGTGACAATTGCCAGCCAAATACACACACTCTCTCCTGCCCTACATCCCTGCTACCGCCTGTCTTCTGCTAATTGCTGCAGGTCAGTAATATACAGATAAAAAGAAGCGGGAGGGGGGGAACCAATTGACTTGTAAAGCCAACTCAGTACTGCCAAGACAGTGACATAGATTCTTTTGCACCTACTTAAAAAGCAGCCAAGTAAGGCAGCAATGTACCTTCAAACCTATGCTGCAAAAAGGCACTTACACTCTGATTAAAATAACAAGGGAGCAGAAGACAGAAAAATGTCTGTCTTGTTCCTCACCTGAAGATAAAATATAAGTAGCTCCCATGCTGGTAAGACAAATATTTGCACAATGAGATGGAACAGTGGACTTGTAACTTAGCACAGGCAGCCTGTTACAAAACTTCAGAGTAAAACTAGCTAAAACCACCCTGGATGGAGGCAGTAAACACAACATAGCAAAATGACTGGTCAATCACATAAAGGCACCACTAATAACAATACATTCACACACAGACACTGCTTCTCCTTATACCACTTGGAGGCTCGGATCTGCTTAAAGCTCCTTTCATTGCAAACTTTAGGAGTAACTTAAGAGATAGACAAAGGCAGACTTGGTGTCACAAGGCAGGGATAATGAAGATCTTTGCGATGAGCGGGAATGGGAAAAAGACACAATGACATATCTTGAGACAGTCCTCGGTAGTACAGAATCTAACAAACTTTGCTAATTGCTCAGCTGATTCTGGGTCAAGAAAGTGCTGAGGTTCCACCAGCCAACTCTGCTGATAGCTCCCTCCTTCACTGTATGGCCCTGAGAGTTCTCAGCTCTTAAACACTGCCATTAAGGAAAAAGTTACTGAGAAGTTAAGAAAGGAGTAATAAGAACTTGCAGTTAAGTCCTCGGGCACTGCACTAAGCACATACCTTCACTGTCTCTCACCTCAGTCTCAACATGAATTCTTAGTAAAGCCAGACAAATGAGAAAAAAACATAAGTAGTAGGGAAGAGCCATTGTGGCCCATGTCTATGTTTTACTGTTCACTCCTGATTGTTTAGGAGCTGTGCTATCTTTATATTGCCAGATCCCCAGCATAAGTACGCCTCTTTGTCTCTCCTGGCACATGTCAAAGAATAAAGCATGTTTAATAATAGGATAACAACTCAAACAAATAAGGGTATCACGGGGTGCTTTTCTGTGTGGGACTGTCCAGTCACGTCTGTACATTCATCCTGCACCAAGTTTTCTCTTTCCATTTGGCACTTTCTTCCACAATTTATAGGTCATAAGGAAGGAAAGACTAGTCTATGAGGATGTGCCAGCTTGCCTGAGAAAGAATTGGGATCATTTGTGTAGCAGAAATGAACCAATAATGCTAGGTGGGCTAGTAAGCCTCACTCAGGCACTGGCTCCAAGCCTCCAGAGCTCTGGGCATTCAACCCAGCCCAATGCCCAAGTAAAACCTGCCTCTGGCCCTGCAGACCCTGCCAGCAAGTCCATGGCCATAGGAATCCAAGACACAGCCAGCAACTCGCAGTGCTCGCCTGGGCGTGACTGCAGCAGATTCAATGCTCACTTGCTTCTCTTCCCTGGCACAGATGCGTGATGTTTATTTACAAACTTATAAATGAAGCCCGAGGGTTTGGTAGATGGATCTATGCCTGGAAAGTTGCAGATTGGGGACCACTTTAGTGCTTATTAAAATAACAGGCAAGGGACAGTGGAGCTGGTCTACTAAGTCCTTTCTCTGCATTAAATAGCATGGTGTTTGTACCATGCCTAGCCCTGTGTCCTTGTCCAATTATTCTTTCCAGGGTCTCTCTACTGGAATGTAGTATTTATTAGTACCCAATGCAGCCCATTTTATAAAGGCTTTATCTGCTCATTATGGAAAAAATAAAAACAAGTAGCCGGAAAAAAAAAGACCATAAATCTTGAACTAAGGCAGTCAGTCATTGTCTGAGTTCCACTGTGAAGCCCTTGGTTGTTCTCGCACTCTCCCCTTGTTTTAGTTAGATGTTGATCTATTGTCAGCTAACTTCCATCACCTCCAAACTCCTGTAAATGCCAAAAATAAATAAAAGCAATACAGCACAAACTAAAAATCAATCAAATCCCATGGCTTCATGATTAAATGGATTTCTAGATTCCTATGCACTGCTCACAAGCTACAAGCAAATACTTCCGTTTGCTCAGACTGTAGAAAGCAGACAGCACAGGACAAATTGGGGAAGAACCGGCACAGGACTTGGAAAAAAACCCAATGATTCTTCATGCAGGGATGCCAGTGATGCCACCTTTCTTCTAGGCCTCTATGAGACACAAGAGGAAAGGAACAGCATGACCTCCGCATTCAGGAAGGTCAAAAGCAAGGCTATTTTAAAGTAACAGGTTGTTGGTGCTTTTTTAGCAGGTCTCCTAAACATAGAGCCTATGGCTAGTTAGAAACAGATGTCACGTTGTAGCGTATTTCCCACTTCCAGCCTCCAAAAGAATTTCAACACACAGAAGATCAGTGACTGCTCTTCTCCTACACCCAAATGTCACAAAACATTTCTCCTACACAAAAGTCAGCATAGACCATTTTAAGATGCTTCTCCATCTGGGGCATCCAGAGGTATCACCTACCTGCCACAACTCCAGCAACGTACACAAAACTGATCCTCGCAGCTCCATGCACCATTTCCAGGGGAACCCCAACCAAGAGCTGAAGGACAACATTGAGTCCAAGGTGTTCTATCCTGCGGCAAGGAAAAACAACAGTTGTCCTCTATTCTAACTCTGTCTCCCTTCTCTACCCTTCAGATAGAGGTATCTTGGAAAGGAAATCAAACAGTACCTGCTTCATGAAAGTAGATTGTATCACTGGGAAAAACAATGGTTCCTGAAAAAATCAGACCAAGAGCTGCAATGTTTCTTCCCTCCTTGCTGCTCATTATCTTTTTCATATCCACCCAGGTCCTTTCAGCCAAAAACCTCATAGCATGTTTGGTTCTTAGTGAGACTTTTTTTTTTTTTTTTTTTTAATAGGTTTGAAGAAGTTAAATGACTTGTCCAAAAAAAACAGCAAGATGGCAGCAGAGCCTGGAACAGAAGCCAGAAGCTTGACCTGCTCCTCTCTTTTCCCCTCCTAATGATACAGCCTGCACATACTACACTGTCACGATGGGGAGCAGACATTAAGTCAAGAGCAAGGTAAGCCTAGCAGTCCCAAGACAGTTGCCATTTCCTTGTGAGACATAATGCCGCTTTACTGTTTGTGCTATCTGACCCTCACCCTCTTCTGCTGTGCTGACTTCAATGTGATCATGGTCAGAATGGGAAGCAGAGGGCATTTTTATCTCTGGTAAGGTGCCCAGTGAGATACAAGGTGTATTCACTGAAGCTCTCTTGTTCCCAT